TCTCCGTTGTCAGAGAAATGTCCTAGAAACTTCTCTTCACCGTCGCGGTTTATAACGGTTTTTTCTTCTTTTTTTGCCCGTGCAATGAACGCATTATTACTACTAGTAGAGAGTGCACTGGCACCTGTGTTCTAATGGTGGTGGCGGGTAAAGCCACTGCGCGTGAGTTCGAACCGGTTTTCTATGTTTTGTTACATAACGGTTCGTGGTCACAACTAACAATATACATGTATAATAATAATAGCAGTTGTAATAGTACTARTACTCATAATTATATATATAATAATCATACTCGTCCGCTCACCGAAAGATATTATARATCATCAGCAACGGACAGCGGTTACATCTTACCATTGTCGCGATGATTACAGCAATATTGGTATTAATAACATAATATCRACATCGACATTAACTGTAAAAACAAATATATCGTGCGTGGACGTGAAAAGGTTGTTCCATCATGAAATGAAATGTTTTGACGTATTTGCATCTATTTATCGTGATAAATTTTGTTAAAAATATTATTTATAGACTTATAGTGTATTGAACAATGCATTGGGATGGCCATGCCTGTCGTTCAAAACTATCATTAGTTGCCGGTAAGGCAGGAAACAGTGAAACCGTTGAATTGTGCGCGGGCAGGTCGAGAGAAAGGAAATCACGAGGTCACGCACCAAGCCCGCGAGATGAGCACTGGCACACCACCAGCAGTCCGATTACGCATATATTTTTATGTTATTTTATATTATCGATCGACGGCGGGGCCCTCGACCTCGGCGCTCGGAAGTTTGCTCAGAGAACCTCCGCCACCAACCCCAAACGGYTGCGAGCGTATACGACGCCGATACTGTGGTCGCATTCCCGGCTGACGTCACGGAAGTGTGTGCCATTCTGTTGGCGAGGGTGAAATTCCCCTCCTGCCACTCCATTGTTGTTCATTTTGTCGGGGCGAGAGTGTAGTAGGTAGTGTTCCATTTCGGTCATCGCGCTAGTCTTTTCGTCTTGTATAAGGGAAGTAACATTTTGTTGGTCTGCATTTTCGTCGTTTATTTTTAATTGTATTTCTGTTGATCTTATGGCGCGTTTTCAAATATTATTAAATACGCCATATTTGAAGACAGCATCCAGACGAATGAATTCATTCGAAATTTCTAACCTAACCCTCCCTGCAAGCCATATTTTATTAACGGCAGATGGCGAAAATCAAGAAGAGATCCTTGTGATTTTCGGAGCCCACCCACTCCCCTGCATTACGTTTAATACCCATTCGATAACGTTATGTAAGCACATTGTATGTGTAAGTACTGTGTAACTCGGTACATGTAAAAACACCACGATCAATACTGTTTGTGTAAATGCTGAACAAAACCTGTTCATTGATTTTCATACCTGTAATAAACCTAATGTTATGGCAATAGTCAGATTAGTTTTCATACTTCGTTTAAATTTTTTTTTTTTAATTTTAACTTTTTAACGTACTATTGTAATTATATCTCGWATTATATTAATATTGTGAACTTTTATGAATGTTTACAGTAATTACTCATAGTATTTTAATTTATACAAGACCTGTAGGAACTTAGAACTTTTTTTTATAATCATAATATTGTAGACTGCAAAAATATGTTGACAGTGTTGTTATATATTAATTATTAACTATCATGATTTGTATTTTTAATTACTTATATTAGGTATTATTATTATTATAATTAATATTATATACTTTACATAATTACGTAGATATATATCTTATAAACCGAGGTGAGTCGATGCTCACTAGACGATCAACCGATCATTAAATTGATAATTGTTGGGCTAGAATACTAGATTACGTCGCATCAATTAGCAACGTTTCACTAAATTTTGTCTGAAATCATGTCATTTTTTCATACATTTTTTGGGTGCAAAATAATATTTGTCATTTAGTGATCGTTCGCAATCGTGTTTCACCCATTTAAATAAACCTAAGGTTTATTTGATTTTTTTTTTTTGAAAACATTACATTTTTTTTAACACATAAGTAATATTGAAGTACCTATTCGTGTTCTACAGCAACTCGAAAGAACTTCATAAATTAATATAAGACCTTTTAAATATTGCCTAGTTTTTAACTGTTATGTTTTTTCGCGAGTGTATTTTATCACATCGATTCCTATTATAGAAGTAGAAGTCAACCTTGAAATAGACTGGTTTTTGCTGGTGCTTTGGCTAGAATTCCTAAAAGATTTCGTGTACCAACGTAATAAACTTTTAACTTAAAAAAATTATTAATTATATTTATTCTCATTATTTAAAACTGTTGTGTATTATTTAAATATCACACATTTATTATTATTTTTTAGTTTTTGAGTTAATTTTTATAGTTTTAGTAATATTTATATTATAGAGAACTTTCACCCTAATGCAGTCAATTTATAAAACTACTGAAATGTAAAAATAAATATTTAKGTTTTCATCACCATTGTATATTCAGGGTTATCATTTTATATTAATTATTATAATAAGTTAAAAACAAAGTTTTAATTACGTTTGTAGTATGTTCGTTATAATTAAGTACCATCCGAGATAATTTCAAAACTACTTTCCTTCCAATGAAGGGTGCCGATTATAAGTTATCTACATTAAAAATACACCCCTGTAATAAAAAACTATTCCGTGTGACCCACAACGACCACACCAACTCGAAGAACTGTGACCTGTGTACTATTTAGTATTTATATTTCGCGCACATRATATAATTTATTGTAAGCATACCTTATAAATATTATTATTGTCTCATTAATTAATTATAATATAGTATTATTATACTGGCTCACTGTCGAAGTTATTTGATTTAACTTAAACAATGTTACGTAGGTACCACATATCTTGGAAGTGTACAATGTGCATAGCATGTTAATTATATAAATTTAGTAGGAATTTGCCTTCCGGGGTTTTAATAATATATTATATTCTGTTCAATGTCACATGTAAACGCACTTACGCACCTGTTGCGGTGGTTTATGGTCAGATACATATTTTTTCGTTAATAGAAATTATATGTTTCAATAAGTTATTTGCAAAAATCCGTGTTTTAAAAATTACCATTTTATACAGACCATATTTGGCATATTTTAACATTTTATATGGAGCGTCCTTGTAAGATTGTAGTTACAATAAAGTATAATTTTTGTCATTTGCAGAAATGATGTATGGATACATTGGATACCTAACGCTTAATGTAATAATCTCCGTAATTTATTGTCGTAATGTTTTGAATATTTTATGCATCACTGTCCAATGATATATGAAAATTAGTCTATTAGTTATTCAAAACCTATTTTTGTTTTATGACTTCATGAATCATGAGCATTCTAAAAATTAATATATGATTGGAAAAAGTAATTTTTTTACTAGATTGGAATTTATTGATACTAAATTTGTTTTTCAAAATATATTGCGTAAATCACCGTTGCAAGGACAACTTGACGTTATCAGTATCGTAATAGTTTCCGAAGTTAATATTGTGRAAATAGGAAAAAACCTCATAATAACCTTGGCCCCGATTCAATGTTATTATTATGCATTTTTTGCATCAAGTTCACAAACCTTAAACAAAAACGACAATTACCATAATTGTTATGATATTAATATTATCACTTATTAATTCATATATTGATTGATTTAATAATATGGGGTTTGTTCAACAGTTAAATTTTAACACTTACAATCTCGAAAAGTATCGAGAAAAGTATTAACACATAAAAATTGATTACATAACTTAAATCATAAATTCACAAACTCATTGCAAAACAAATTTTGGAATAAAAATTTTTATTTTTATTTTTTATTTTTTACTTATTTTTTACATTTAAAATTTTTTTTTTCGACATAAGTAACAGTATGAATAATGTTAAAATATTTAACAATATTTTTAATTTTTTTTTTTTTTTTTATTGATCTAAGTACATCGACAACTAGGCAATTAGTAAAATATTTTTTTTTTTTTTTACATTTTTAGTATTTTACGTATACATTAAATTAAATTATACATTTCTGTTTTTCTAAGAATAAAATTAAGTTGTTTACATCATATGGGTTTGGTCTAAGTGCTTGACAGATTTGTTGGGATATGTGAAATTGATTTCGATACTGATTGTATTTTTGACATTCAGTGATGATGTGGTTGACGGTTAAAAGTACGCTGCATGACGCACATAGTGGAGGATCGTCTTTACTCATCAAGTAGCTGTGTGTTAAGTCTAAGTGTTAAGTGTGTGACCAATTCGGAGGCGGTTTATTAAGTTTCATCTTTTCTATTGAGTTCAGGATTTTTCCATGGGTTTATATAATTTTTTATTTTGTTGAGTTTTCGCCAGTGAGAGAGCCATTTATTATTTGAGTGAAGGTCTATTTTGTTCTTTGCATCTGCGAATGCGATGGAATTTATGGTTGGAATTGATGTAGAGACAATTGCATCATAAGCTTCTTGGTCAGCTATTTCATTTCCGGGAATGTCCATGTGCTCCGGGATCCTTTTAATTTTTTGTTTGTAAGGTTAGGTTATTATTTTTTTTTCTGCGAATGTCGGTAAATAAAACTTAGATTTTGAACTAGTTATTCATTCATTAAGTAAGTTAATTTTAAGCAAAGATGGATAGTCGACGATTTAATAAATAGGTAGAMTAAATAGATTTATTTTTGTTATTCCACTGAGCAACATCACTGAAACTTAAAAAAAAAAAAATTATTTTCAAAATGCATTTAATAAATGTGAATAAGTAGGTAATATTGATTATAAACCTAATACTCTAGCAGTATTACTTTTTGACATGTTTTTTTTTTTAATTATTTATTTAAACTTTTCTTATTATGTATTTAAATAATTACTAGTTAATTTGTGTCTATGCACAAAATCGATGTCCTTTATAAGAATTAAGGACTCGTAAGGTTTTTTTGGAAATGTATTGCTTTGCTTCCGTGATATAGCTTTAATCTATAATTTTTTTTTTTTTCTGTAGATTGGTCTCAGATGACTTCCCAGACATGAAGATCCCTTTAGAAAACAACATACTTTGCAACTACGACACGAAATCGTAAGTTATTTGACTCATCTTCTATTTATAAGTTATAACCTCAACCATTAGTGTCATTTTGTCAATTAACCATAACGAATCATTTATTTATGTATTTTATGTTGTAGATACGACAGCATGAAGTCTTTGTGCGACAGGTTCAATAAAGCTATTGACAGCATGGTTCAAATGGTAAATATAAAATTGAAAAAATATCGATTTTTTTCCCTCCGATTTGTATTCAAAGGGTTGTATTTTAAATGGGTGCCATTTATTGGGGTGACAAAAAATAGGGTGTTCGTGTTCATTGAAAATGCTTACGTGACCTTATCCTTCTTATATATGAAGCTGGTGTTACACAACAATATTATTTATCTCATGATTTTTTTCAGTGTTGCCAAATTTAAGTGAAAATATTAAACTGCGTATCAAACAATACTGAAAAAAAATTAAATAAATAAATAATATTCTAAAAGTATATATGTATATTTAGAGAACGTAACATAATAATATGTAGATAATAATATTTGTTATCCCTAAACCATTTAATTTTAACAGGTCTTGTAATTATACACATTGGTTATTACTTTATTAGTTATTACAAGACCAGACTTCCTATAATTTTAATCGAAGATAAGATGTTTTATTTAAAATGTATAAAATAGATCGTGATCATGAACAGCGACCACAAGCAGCTGTTTTGTTCCCTTCTATTCGTCTGGTGTACTCAGCAATCCCTATATTTCATTGTAACGTAATTTACAACCTGCGTATTTGGCAGCCCCACCTGCCTTTTGCCAGATGCATGTTACTTAGGCTATGGTATTTATATTTCTCCTTATTGTATAAAATATAAAAATAGTATCTATTCATTTTGTTGGCATATAAAATATTGTATTTTAAATTTTTTCAAAATTTGAAAAAAGTTTGTAATATTAAACTACCGGTGTTATACTTTAAGATTTCCGATCTTTGAGAGAATATGTTTAAGGTTTCCCTATTATAATTTCCAGGGTAATTTCCTATCAAATTATTAATTTAAAAAATAGTATTTAAATGTTATTTTATGGGATAATTATGTAGGTAGTCAARGGTTGGTTGCAAGTGAAGTAATTGTAAGACAAAGCTCTAATTTCCTATAGTTTTGTTTCAAATTAAAATATTAACACTTCCCAATAAAGTATTTTTATAATATTTATACTTATAGRTTTATAACCAATGTTGAAATAATAAACTTTTAATAATAATAATTTATTATTTTCAGAATAAAGGAACTTCTTTACAAAAATTCAGTAAAAAAGCATCTAGAAGTCTTCTCCGACATATAATTCAACAAGTTTACAATGTTTCGGTCACTGATCCTGATAAACTAAATCAATATGAACCATTTTCGCCTGAAGTATGTACAATGTTAAACTCATAAATCATAATAGTTTTTGACTTAAGTATAATATATCTATTTTTGTTGTGCTTAGGTGTATGGAGAAACATCCTTCGATCTCATCTGTCAAATGATTGATCTGATTAATATTACAGAAGATGATATATTTATAGACCTTGGATCTGGTGTGGGACAAATTGTTTTACAAATGGCTGCAGCCACTCAATGTAAAATCTGCTGGGGKGTTGAAAAAGCTGATGTCCCTTCTTCTTACTCAAAAGTAATTAATAATAGTTTAGGTGAATTAATTGTATTGATTGTATATTTTTTCTTTAGTTCATGCATTTAAATTTTCAAAAATGGATGGCTTGGTATGGAAAACAATGCGGCCAATATCAACTATTGAAGGGCGATTTTTTGAGTGAAGAACATAGAGAAAAAATAACCAATGCCACAATTGTATTTGTAAATAATTATGCATTTGGGCCACAAGTAGACCACATGTTAAAACAACGATTTGCTGACCTTAAAGATGGAGCTAGAATAGTCTCCTCAAGATCTTTTTGTCCACTTAACTTTCGAATGTCTGAACGCAATTTAAGTGGTAAATAAATAATTTATCTTTTTTTTTATGTTATTAATTTATGCTTATTGTTTTATTAGATATTGGAACCATAATGCATGTAACTGCGATGGAACCTATAACTGGTTCAGTTTCTTGGACTTGTAACCCTGTAAAGTATTATCTACATGTTATTGATAGAACAAAGGTAATTAATATTTTCAATTTTGATTTATTTTCACATAGTAATCTTTGCATTAATAATTTTATACTTCACATTAACCATGGGATATTTTATATTTTTGTAGCATATATACAATATACTCATAATCCTACAAGCACTACCATTGTTGATCTTATAAAACTAATTCAATTTTATTTTATTGTACAGCTAATTTTCATAATCGTGTTTTGTATGACAATAACATTTGTATTGATTAAAAATTATCTTGTTTGATTTAATATTTAATTTTAATTTATAAATTTTATTCAATACCCATAAATAATAATATACTGGTCAAAAGTTAACTTTTCTTTAGGTATTTACTTAAATTTAAAACTAAAAAATGTCAGTAAAAAAATAGGTAGAATAATATTACTTATTGAAAATTAATTAAAGACTAATTATATTTATAGAAAACTAAATCTTGTTGTCTAAAATAAATCCCRGTAAAATCACTTTTTCGTCTAATCTGATATGATCCTTTTAAAACTTCTATAATCAAAGTAACTTATATTTGTGCTTAAGTATTGTACTTCACACTTCATGTCTTGACTGGTAATGCAATAGTGAACTATAAAATATATTAAATTTTATTATAAACTTGTGAATTAATGAATAATAATTATTTGAAAATAACAATTAGTTATATAAAATATAATATATTTATTTATGTATATTAAATATGTGTTAATATAAATTTAATGCAATTTAATCTTTACTTAAATCTATTATTTTGTATATTTAATTAAATGGATATTTTCATTTATTTATATTTTATTTATTATTTCAAAGCTTATCAATGATTTAATTTTTTTTTTTCTGAGTGATAATTAGTTGTTGTTTGTATAAAGTTTTATTTTTTTTAATGTCAACAGCTCGAGCGGTATTTTACTCAAAATAAGCCTCCTGTACCAAAAACAAGGGTAAATAAACAGATGTCTGCGAGTAAAATTAATGTTTATATATTTTATATTCTTATGCTTATTTAAACATTTGTTTTACTCATTTAACCTTTTATGTTTTTTTCAATCTGCAGTTATTGTCCACGAACATTGTTCATCGAAAGGACATGCAGTATTATTTTTGTTTTGTTTCTAAATTATTATTAATTTTAGGTGAATGGAGATAAACAAAAATTTACAACAACCATTTCTGTTAATAATTGTTCATCTGATGATACAGACTCATTGTTTAGTACTTTGAATGGTGATAGTGTAGATGGAAGTGCTACTACTGGATTGACACCTGATAAAACGGGAACTAACAATAACGGGCAATGTGCATGGTCAGATCAAGGTGGGCATAATAGTGAGGAAGAAAATGAAAATAATACAGGTACTTTTGTGATATAATTAAAAACCTATTGGTTATATTTAATTCATAAAACTTATGTTTACAGACAATCAAGGTAGAACTACTCGAAAAGTGATGAAGCGTAATACACCACGTCGTAGTCGTAGTTTAAAAATCACTCCTACTACATACTTGAATCGATCCCATTCTGAAACAACTGTTCCTGAAAAAAAGACTGTAGAAAAAATTGCAAAAGCAAAACGAGTGGTTTCTACTAATCGCAAACAAAAGGCAAGACGAAAGCCACCTAAACGTAGTGTTAAAATATCAGCATCTCTAAATTTATTACATAGTGAGACTGTATTAAGTACTACACCAGAAGTATCAATGAGTATCAAAGAACCTCCAAAAGGTTGTGTTGATCACACTTTGACTTCAATTACGGGAGTGGGAGCTGGATATGCAGCTACTCATACTGAACTTCCTCCACACACTGGAGATATTCCATACTCATTACAATTGCTTTTAGATGATTATAAAGAAGGCTTTATGAATATGATAAATATGTTTAAGACTCAAAAATTCCGTGAAGATGTTGAAGCTCAAATAATTGCTGAAAAGGTAAGAAAAATAATACATTTATTATTATTATTATTATAAACACTTCAAACACAAATATTATTTTAGGAAAAAAAACAAAATTCAAACATGAAAATAAATCAAATTAAAAAACAAATTGACCATCTAATTAAGGATAGCTGTAGTCTTTTAAAGACACGTATGAAGGAACTTGATATTTATCCTACCAATACCACAGGAGATGTTTTGACGGCTGCTAAAGTAATTGTATTACGCCATAAAGATCTACAAACTAAAGTGGCCAAAGTTAAAAATGAAGTAAGTTGAATGCTGACAATTATTTAAGGCTACTTTTTTTTCTCTAGGTTAAATAATTTAATTAATATTTATTCTTATAGACAAATGTATTAGAAAATCAACATTGGGACTATTACTGTAAGAGAGCGGCCGAGGTTAATGCTGTTGGTACCCCTGGACATTTATTAGTWCATCAAACTGATAACTCAGCAGATCAAGAATTAAACACCCAACGTTTATTGATGACAGAACTTATGACCAATCGTAAAAGAAAACATGCTTTATCTTCAACTATTGAAGGAGTGAAAACTGAAATTGATAACTTAGAAAAACAAAATACATCTAGTAAGTTCAATRGTTCTTTAGTAAATCAAATGTGTAATAACAAAAAATCAAGAATACGCTCTCAAGACTGGCCTGAAGTACCAGATATAGCTAGAATTGACGAAAAAAATCCAGAAATTCTTGCACAAAAAATATTAGAAACTGGGAGACAAATTGAAGCCAGAAAAATAATAGAAAATGGTAGACAAGTTGAATTATCGACACGATATCAACGCTCAAATAAGATTTATAATAGAAATTCATCAGATACTCCACTTAAAGTGCCTTTTTATGACGAACATGTCAAAGATCTCATAACTAATGCTTTAAATGAACCGTCATCTAAAGGACCAGATTATACGATAGTATCACCTGCTAAAGTTGCCTTACGAAGACATCTATCACAGGTAAAGTAAAACAATTTAATTATTATGTACCATGTTAAATTTTACATTTGAAGCAAGTAAATACTATGTTCAATATTCTTCTTAGGAAAAAATTTCACCCAGTCCACCAATACAGCAACAAAATGTCATAACAAGAACAATTGGTGATGTACTAAACAATGAAATTGAAAGATGTTTGGAAATGGACAGACATAATCGAACATTAGAAATTAGCAATCAGTCCATAATTAATGCTGTCGTTCCATTATCCATGCATAATAGAAACAATGACACCACCCAAGCTATAAATCAGACATTGCCTTCAGAAAAACGTTCATTTATGTATATACCATTACCAAAAGCTGAACTCAAACCTTACCAAGAATCATTATTTAGTGATGATATCCTTCCACCTCATTTAACCACTCTCAAAGAGGAGCCTGTTGAAGGGTAACTTTTAAACACTTATTAAAATATGTTATTTTAAAGACAATTACCAATATGTTGTTTTGTTGATTAGACTGGCTGCATCATTGCACGATCGACTATTAGATAATGATGGAGATGATAGTAATGGTGATGAAGGCTTGTCATTTAAAGAAGAAAAGACTGAATCAGATACTCTATCACCACATAGAACACTAAAGCGCAGTTCTGAATCACCTGGGCCTCTACATGCTAAAAAAATGACACCCATGTCTGACAGACTTCCCTCTGAAGAAGGTATTTGATTTTAAGTATTTCATCCACACTTATTTTAGATTTTGGTTTTGGCGTGTAATTTTAATTCGTTTTCACATTCAACTTCCGAATAGATGTTTTATTTTTCTATCAGACAGTCGCCTGATTGTTTTAATGTTGTATTTAGCTTGGCTTAAACTTAAAAATGTTCTCAGACATAATATAATATATAGTCTTATATACTGTATTTGTTTTAATAATTTAAAAATATTAAACAGTCTGGTGGTGGCCATGTGCAAATATAAAATTAATTTCTATATAAGAATACGAGAATATCTTTTTATATCACCACTACTACTACTCATAGATAATATATTATATTATACTACGTTTATATGATGGTGTTAAAACGCTCACACTATGTAGTGTAAAGGTACGGTTTCCCTGCAGCGTTCAGACCCCATGACCCTAGATAATGTATTTTATGTATGACTGGTTTCGCTACTGTTTCACGTGTTTGACGTGGCGTCTGGCGTCACTACTGGTCCGGACCAGTGTTGCGTCAAGATGCTAGGCAACAACATGTCTTTTAAATTTTCATTTTTCAAATATAAAATCTTACCTCGAAATAAGTGCTAGTGTTTCCTTTGGAGATATTGGCTCGGGTACACGATATGTGGGTTTTTTTGTTATTTCTTCTTGAACTAAAGATAAAATAAAATTGAACTGTTCACGATTAACATGAAAAAATTCCCGAAATTATTCATTGTCGTTAATAAGATGTCCACCAATCAAATTTTTAAAGAATCCCTCAGAGTTCCTCGTGGAAAATAAAGTATTGAAAGGTTTTCTTTTTTTTGGAATTAAGTTCATAAGTAACTCAGTTTCAATTTCTTCATCACAAAGCAAAAATTCACAAATATTATTGTTATTAATAATACTGTTCAAAATTAAATTTTGATTCATTTTGAAAAAAAAATAAAAAATTAGAGCTTATAATATGTGGAAACTACGTGTGGAAGAGACAACAGTCGCAGTGGTTATATTTTAATTTTGCAAAATCAAACTAAAAGAATRGGATTAAATAACAAAATCTACAGCGTTTGACGCTACAGGGAAAACAGGGTAAATGCAGCGTCCAGACAATGCGTCAAGACGCCTCATTCGGTCGCGTTTGAACGCTGCAGGGAAACCGTACCTTAAGAATTTCAAATCGTTTTAACGCCATTATATAAACATAGTAATATATTATCTATGCTACTACTACTACTACTACCTACTACTATTTTTATTATTATTGTGATTATGTGATTACTATTATGATTATTTTTATTGTCAATAATATTATTATTATAACTATTAACTACTACCACAACTACTTCTACTAGTTCTATCATTAGCTACTACTACTGTTATTATTGTTGTTATTATTATTATTATTATTATTATTATTATTATTGATATTGTTATTTACAGAATAAACTTAAAAATTATAGTGTTAACTCAATAGTTTTTCCTGACCCAGTGATCACTTTTTAATAAATGTATTATCCTCTTGCATTGAATACTCCCATATACATGTTTTAATCTATACAATATATTATTTTACAAATACTTTTGATCATTCTTACTGCTACAATGATTGTAATTAAAATATTTTATCAAATTTATATAATGTTATACTGCAATATTTTTTTAACTATTTTCAATATACTTAAATATAATGAATACAATTTTCAACCAAATACTAATGATTCTTATGGAGTAATTTATTTACACTCATTGCATGTTTTGCTGGTTTTTTGTTGCTTGTCACGCTTATTAATTTCTATTTTAGGATTTAATACTCGTACTGTAAAGTATGCCGCAAGAAGTATTATTTAGCTGTATAAATAGAAACTTTAGCTGGCCTAATGGATTTGGATTACATTGTAAAATATTAAGGTGAGTGCACTGGCATTGCGTTGTACTATACACAATATTATATTTTGGCATGTTTCTTAAATGTTGTTTGTACTAAGCAATTATTTTATAAAATYTTACCCTTTTTTGGTTTGGTGTTTGTTGTAAAAGAAAATGTCACTAAAATTATAATTTTTTTCTAATTAACAAGTTGTCAATTCTACGTTTATTGTCTCCGTCTTACAATGCATAACAGAAAATTCACGTTTAGCTATTTTAGTTTTATTATTACACTAGGTAGTAAGAACATTATGTTTGTTTAGACATGGTTTTTTATATTTTAATTTCCAAGCAACTTATGAATGTAAAATATTTCAATTAATTGCTCATCTTATTTAAAAATTAAAATATCCAAAATGGCTGATGTACAGGCACAAAACATAATGAACTTACCTTAAAATTTGAAAAATATATTAATTCTCCTAATATTAAAGTCAGTTGAACATGAATTATCCACTTATATGGCAGAGATTACAAATGTGAATGGTGTCCTCTTCTTATAATTATAAATAATAATTTGAAGTTAATTTATTTAATTACCTATTATTTTTATCTGATAGTTAATTCATTGTTTAAAACACAATATTCTATTCAAAAAAATTCCAAAGATTTTGTTAACACAATTTTTTATTTTATTCTACTGGCATGTCCAATTTCAAAAATATAATATAACTTACAGTCACTCAGAACCAGTTATCTTTTATGTTTGGTCATACCACTTTCAGTATATTATATTATTTAATAAAAGAAATAAGTCAAGAAAATATTTATTTTTTATTAAGACTATTCTATAAAGAATCTATTAATAGTGTAGTATATAAATATACAGGTTGTATATTTTCAAAAATCAGCACCTCTTATTCATAAATGTAATATCCATAATATACAATTTTATTTTAAGTTGTATAATATTATGTTTGATTAGTTTTTCTTTTAACAAATTTATTTCATAATAAAAAAAAAACGACATTATTTAATATTTGTATTTTTTAATAATTTATGTGTCTATTTGTGAAATGAATATCTAGTGTTAAGTATCATTGCATGCCTCTGTCTAAAATCTATCTGAACTTTCCATATATTCTTATAAAAACCATTACACTTACTATATTTAACAATATTAATTCAGAAAAAATAAAATAAAACAACTAATGGTTTTGCCTGGATAATTCAATAATAAGAATATTTTAGTCACAATAATGTTACTTTTGGTTTTATTTTATTTTTTATTATTATATGATCCTTATGTTAACTAAAATAAATCTATTTTTAGATGAAAAATGGAATGATCGCATTCGTGAAAGATTTGATAGCTTGGTAACATTTGCATCATTAGAATTGGATAAACGACGTCGTAATAGTTCAGACGCTGCTGCTGCTAATACCAGTCCTGACAGTGGTATAGGTCATGGTGATCCGCCGCCTGCCTTACAGCCACCACCATCACCATCACCCCCATTTTCACCAGCTCCATTGGATGGACCATACAGCCCTGTACCTGCTCCTACTGTAACTGCTCCAAATATACCATTAAGGTATCAACGTCACACTAACCATAAAAAGAAGTCGTTTCGTGATAAATATCGGTCCACTGGGCCTAAAGCAAAAACTTGGGCCGCCAAATGGATGGATGATGAAATTCAAAGCACAAGCAATTTTTTTTAATGCAAGTATTTGATTTTTCTAAAATTCCTTTTCCACAACCCCTATTAGTTTAATTTTAAATGTTTATAATTGTTAAAATAACTTTCACACACGTAACAATTTTAAATTAATTATCGATCTATTATATTTTTTATTCTTTGATAAAAAAAAAAAAAAATCCGAATTATATGGTATTTTTCTTTTTTAATACAAAATAAGAAATAATGTTATTCATTTTAATTAAATCATTGACTTAAAACCAATATAAAGTTTTTTTTTAATACAAGTTCCTTGTTATTGTATTTTCCAACAGTACACATTTTTACTGAAAAAAAGTTAATAAATTATAATTATAATAATTATACTTTTGGTGAATTTATTTTAAGCAATATTTTTAACTGCCTTAGTTAGTTTGATTTGTTTACCAATTGTTTTATTATCATTAACTAGTATTTATTAATAATATATTCTTTTCTTTTTCTTTTTTGTTATCCTATTTACTGATTTAAGGAATAATTAATTAATCAAATAAATAATCTATTCACAGTAAATATTCTGAATAGAAATTAAGTACTTAACATTGTAAATAATTAATTTAAAAATGTGTACAGTAATAAAATATTAATTAGGCATCCCAAATACCATAGAAATAATGTGTTCTTTATTGTTTATTTTTATTTTTTATTGTTATTATTATAGGTACCCAAATTTTTTTTGTCAAAATCTGTGTCTCTGTCCGTTTTGTCATTTGTTTTTTTTTTCTTGTGGATATAGCTCATCACTGCCTTTTTATAGGGCCTCCATATTTATAAATTTGTATCTATAGTTCTAAAAATTAATAATTAGTGTACATTTTTTTTTAAATGGGGGAACTTAGACTTTTTTCCAAACATCTTTTTATAATCAATTTTTCAAACTGCCACTCGTTAAAAGTGTTCAAATTTAAATTGTAAACCATTTCTTTTTTTTTTTATTGCAATTTGCATAATTTTTTGTTCCTAAGTTATTATATAGTTCTCCAATTTTGTACAGAATATTTTAGTGGACTTTTTGACAAATGTTATTTATTTCTTTTTATAATATTATTAAGAACATTGTACTAAGTACAAAATTATGTTACATACTAATAAAGTATTGTAAATACATGTTAAATATATTGTTTTGATGGTACAGATTTTTGTTTTTTAATTTGTACTAACTCATAATTTATACATATTTCTTGAATAAATGTATAATTTGTATATGCCTATAAGTGAAAATAAACTCTTAATGCAGYGGTTTTTTAAAATTGTTTTGATTGTAGAACTGTAACTGTGATCAAACACATATTTTGACACCCACAAGAAGAATTACAAGTGTTGTAATTTTTTGCTCTAATACATAAGTATGATATAAACACAATCTATTTAATTTAAATACCAAAAAAACATTTATAAAGTAAATATCTTGTAGAGTTGTGATTTTGAAGTATAAAATATTTAATGTTTATTCTATTTTGGGTATGGTAGTTTTAAGTTTAATTTTTTACCAATTAAATGACATTTTTAATTGAATTTTTAATAAAAAAAAATTTTTATAACTTTTAAATTTCAACATAGTTAATTCTTAACTACCTCTCAAGCAAATAAAAAACTTTATTTGTAGGCTAGGGAACAAATAGTTTGACTTGGCATTATAAGGTTATTTTTTGGAATTTAAATTGCTACTGTTCCAAAATTGATCTTATTTGTGTTGTTTTCTACCAAAATAAGCTTACTAATGTCAATTTTATTGTATCAACTACCTAACATTGAAACTGAATGTTTTAAATTATTATACTCATGTAATAACTATTTACAAAGTATTATTACCATATAGTGTCACGACTTACAGTCCACAGACTACAATATACTCAGTGCCGTCTTAAGGCATGGAACGGGCCCGGGGCCCCGACATTTTAAGGGCCCCAAATTCACATGTATTACATTTATATTTTATATCATAATTTTACATTTAAAAAAAAAAATATATTTTTAATACAAAATATAAATCTTGAACGAAAAAATATTAAAATAATAAAACCTAACTATTAACGTCGGTTCAAAATTATTTGATTCCCTTGCTGGTTTTCTAAGTGAAATTAGAGATGAATTTTATAATTATGAATCTGTCGCTAGAGAAAAATTTCCAGATTCAGACTATAAAGATTTACATCAACTAACTAAAAAGAGGAGTATTCACTTAACATTCCCCGGTGAACGGACCAACGAAAATATATCGTTTTCAAGTAGTGAAAAATTCAAAATAGAAAAGAAACTTACTTCCCAATAATAGATCCATTAATAACTCAGTTAGAAATTCGAGGTAAATCATACAAATCTATAAATAAATTGTTTGGATTTTTCTCAAATGTAAAAAATTTAGACACAAAAGAAATACAAGTCCATTGTAAAACATTTACGGAATTTTATCATGTAGACATAAATGAAAATGAATTAATTTTAGAATGTATACATTTAAAAGCATATCTATCGGAACTTGATATTTCTGAGTTCAGTATTTCTAGTACATACAAATGTTTAAAATCAAATGGACTAGAAGAAACATTTCCAAACATAATGATATCTTTCCGAATTTTTTATCAATGACGATTACCAACTGTAGTGGGGAACGTTCATTTTCCAAGTTAAATWTAATCAAAGAAGAGCTTAGAAGTACCATGAGCCAGAAACGGTTAAACTCCTTATCTAATATCTTTAATGAGTATTSAACATGAACTACTATCAAGTTTAGATTATGAAAATATTATAGAAGACTGCAAATGAAAAAGCTAGGAAGAAACCATTAAAGAGTATTTAAAAATTGACAAATTTATATCAATATATATATAATATTTTTTTATTGTTTTTTAGTTTCTGTTTTATGAATTACATTTATTTTTAACTATAAACATATTAATGTATAAATAATTAATATGTTAACATCTTAATTAGTAGAATTGTATTTTAGTATTTTTCGAAATTATTATAAACATTAAAGTATCAGAGATTTAAACAAAAATTCACTTTAGAATATGTAGAATATTTAATAAATAATATACATGATGTGTTAAAAAATGTATTTATCATAAATCATAATTTAGTAGGTATTGTAAGGCCCTCGAAATATGTTGGGCCCGGGGCCCCGTAAAACCTTAAGACGGCCCTGAATACACTATAATATGAACACTAAGTTAATTTTGTTAAAATTATCACAACCAGTGGCATATTTAGACCAGGTCCTCCCATAGATATTTGACTATATCATAAGTCTTATAATAGCTATGGACCCCCCACCCAAGTKTGTTCAAGTTAAAGAACACCCTTGGCCACAAACTTTTAACATGACATTAAAATTTAATAATCACATAAATATTTTATTTAATGTGTCCAAGCGATAAATTAGAAAATTTCTTGTGTGCTAAGATGAGAAGGTTTTATTTTTTAYTTTTATATCCTTAAATGCGCTGAAAAATGTTGCTGAATTACGCCGTGTCCTACGTGAGTCCGGCGAGTGCGGCGAAAAACAAAACAGCTTGTATTTCGCCGCATCGGACGCACCGCACTACGGCGGAACAGCATGGTCAGACTCAGAATAGAATTCGTTCGCACTCGCCGGATTCACGTAGAACACGGCGCTATGTCAACACAAAAAAGATGCTTTATGTTCAACCGTGTAAAACAGTCCATGGTCTAAAAACTTGTTTTGATATGACTTCTGCAGTTCTGCTTTATATATTATTTAAATATTTCAAAAATATTATCTATTCATGCATTTATTACCTTGTATATAAGAATTTTTCAAACCCAATTATATTTTAAACTTTATTTATCTTACTATTTCGTTACAGGGATACCTATATACTGTAGATTGTTATTCTATATAATTGAGTTTTTTTAAAACTATATTTGGAAGAAAAATTTAGCGTGCAGGAGGAGCAGCTTTCTACCCTACACCCTGGCTACACCCCTCYCCTTACATTCGTACGTACGATTTTTGATATAATAAGCCTTCACGAGCTGCTTCAAGCCATGGCACAAAACATATATACCAGACGAATCTCTTCGTATGGCTCCACGACGAGCGGTAGAGTTTAGGTTTGACCGCGGTTGCCGAACGCACACTYTAGACGGTATAGCTGTCTCGCGAGTCGTTGGCCGTCTTCAGACTCAGCATAGAAACCGCAGCAGACCCGGATCCCAGCAGCACCAAATTGCACTGAAATTTTAGAAATATAAATATAACTGAATAAATTGTCCCGTAGCGGCCGTCCGAACTTGAAGCGGCATAATCGACGAAAGGGACGATATATATATATATATATATATATAT